GGGGTGGAGAGTGCCGCCCCCATTGGTTGTCACCCAAGGTGCCGGACAAAGTTCGACCCAAGGTGCCGGACCGAGTTCCACCCAAGCTCCCCGCCCGTCCTCCGCCCCATCTCCCCGCCCGACTATTTCACAAGATGCCGGCCACAACGATCACCACCAAAGCTCATACTACGATCCCCGCTCGATCTTCCATCATTCCTCACAGAGTTTCCACCAAGCCCCATTGTCTCCCACCCCGATCTCATACAACGATCCTCGCGGAGCATACTTCGATCCCCGTGGAGCATACTTCGATTCCCGACTATCTCCCCGCCAAACATCATCTGGGACTTGGCATGATGGCTCCTCCACCACAGGCCAACACGAGTTCACCCCATGGAATCGACCTCCTGGTCAGCAGTGGCCTCCTACTCCTCACCGTATGAGCGCCAATGTCCGCTCGACCCCGGAAGTGCCGCTTCCCCGCCGACATAGCACCGACGAGCGCCACACTACCTCGGCCGCTCGAAACTTGCCACCTCCACCACCCGTTGTTACTCCCGTCGGCAAACGTACAAGGAGCAAGAAAACTGTGGGTTCCGCATCCGCTCGTGGACTTCCTTGAGATGTATTTTGAGTTGATTTTTATCTCTATGTACTTTGAACTATTCCCTTTAATTCCATCAATCGTATTTCGTTGAGTTTCATCAAATTGTTATTATCATGATTCCTCTTGACTTGATATAATCCAAATTCGTTCAATCAACAATACACAAATAAATGCAACGTAAGAGTTACAAATAGCTTGACGAATGATAATCGAAAATTATGTCGCATTAGCTGATTCCGGGACATCATCACCCGGATTTTGCGGACCAATCGGTCCTGGACACCTTCGTTTATCATGTCCTGGAACTTTGCATACTGAACACCGTCTTGGGCCTCGTGGTGGTCTTCCACTTTGATCCATTTCATTATGAATTCTCTTTTTCCTCGGGCGCCCCGGTTCATGCCTCTGTCCGAATGGCGGGACGATCAATTTCCCTTCGTACAGGGGCCAATAAGCTTCATCAGGCAATGCACGGAAACTCCGTCCTTAGGTGCTTTTGAGTGAGTCGATATTGAAGAATGGACTAACGAAGTGACGGGGGTCTTTGCTCCTCTTTTTAATTACGACCATTGCATGAGAACAAGGCCATCCTCTCCCCTGATACTTCTGGCATGAGCACTCACCATATTTGGTCCTGAAATTGACCAAAACTTCGTGACGGTGGCCTCCCCGTCTACCATCCTCCCGATGTCCGGTCGTCACGCTATACTCACCAGTTGCCCAATTCATAACGGTTACACTATGTCGATTGCTCTTGCGATTGTCACTATCCATTATTTCAGTGACTTTATGGGCATGGACCTTTCCCTATGCCTCGTTTGTCCTTGCCCAGTGGAGACGGTTCACGAACCATGCATTCGTTTTCCAAAAATTCATCTCCACAATGGCAGAGATTGGCAGTGCACGGACGGCCTTGTAGATAGAGTTGATACTCTCACTTGAGTTGGTTGTGGCAATACCCCATCTTTTCCCTCCATCTTTATGAAATGTCCACATGGATAGGTCGTGTCCATCCAGCCACTGTGCCCCTTCAGGGCATAACTCGCGCAGCTTTTGCAACTTCTCCTGAAATTTTTTCTCCTGGTATGCAACCGCTGAATAACACACAGAAAAGTCGTATGTTAGTCAATGACATGCAACGTAGTACAATTTCAAACTGCACGGTTACTCTCGTTAGACTCTTAGGAGAGGTATACATCTCCTTAGAAACACAGCCTGTTTGACAGAAAAAGGGGGGATCCGAAGATCGCTTAAAACCCGATTTTCCCAGGAAATGGGAGGACCATCATAATCGCTTAAAACCCCATTTCCTTAGGCATGCATCTCTTTAGAAAGAGTCTAACAAGTGCACCACTCCCGATATTACAAGATATTGTTGTTAATTGAGAGCAATAGAAAGGTTACCAATCCACCACAAATTATCAGCTAGCTTCTTCCGTTTGAAATGATGGTTCCAGTTGCTTTTGAAGTGTCGTATGCACCACCTTTGGGACCAATTCCAGGCTGGATCCAGGCCTAAGATGGCTGCTCTAATGCCGGCGTGCCGATCAGAGATTATTGTCAGGTTCGTCCTCCTGGTGACGTGGATTTGGATTTGTCGGAAAAACCATCCATAGCTATCAGCATTCTCTCCCTCAACAATGGCGAAGGCTAAAGGAAAGACTTGTCTATTTGCATCCGCCCCACTGGCAATCAGGAGAGTGCCCTTGTACTTGCCGGTAAGGAATGTACCATCCACAGTAATCACAGGGATACAAAAGCCAAAACCATCAATAGAAGGCTTGAATGCCCAAAACAGTCTGCGAAAATGGCGTTCGTTACCTGCCTCTGGGGGTTGTATCTCTTCATCTTGGTATCGAGGGGAGAACACAGTCCCAGGGTTAGACGCCTCCAAAGCCAATATTAGTCTGGGAAGGAATGCATATGATTCTTCCCAATCACCATAGATGGCGGCCATAGCTTTCTGCTTTCCATGCCACGCCTTCTTATAGTTAATCATATAACCAAAATGACTTGCAATGTCAGCGATTATGACTTTCACCTTGAGATCCGGTTCAGCCTCAATCAGATGCTTGATAGCCGCAGCAACCACCCTGGATTTCAACTGTCGATGGCCTTGGGAAGTTATGGATGACACACATGTGTGTGTGTTGACCGCACGGGATATGACCCAGTGGCTGTGTCTCTTGCTGTTGATGGCCCGAATCCTAACATTGCACCCCTCGTGATGATTACGACATCTGACTATGAGCCTTTTGGTGTTGGAATGAGTTGTGTCCCATTCAAAATGCCGAGTCATTGCTTCAGTCTCAAGGGCGTGCCGCACATCCTTCTTCGAGCCAAATTGTTGGCCCTTCGTAAACCCAGTGAGTGGCCCCCATATTGGGACCTCTGGCGGCTCCACGTCACTGTCGACCATCCAATTGTCGTCTGGAATGTGATTGTAGTAGGGGACTGGTACACGGTCAGGAGCCACATCATGATCATTATCTGAATCTGAATCTGGTGCTGAATCATCAGCACCTTCAAGAGGGTCTGAGCTGTCTGCACTGACGTTGTTCTCTCCTTCTTCATCAGAGGGGTCGCTGACTGGTGCTGGTGTGGCAGCCTCCATCTGATCCTGTTCATGAAAGGCACCTTCATCAGCTCCATAATGGTAGTTGTGAAAACTACCGCTGCCTGTCAAGAAGTTGTACTGAGCTTGGTTGGGGATGTCCGGTTGAACTTCTTCTTCATATGACGAGAAAGATTGATGATGGCCTGCACCTTGCCCTCCATCTTGGTACTGAAAATAGGAATGAGGATCATGGTAACTTTGGTAGGGATGATCGTCATATAATTCACCTCCACCATGGATACCAGATGTTTGACCGTGTCCAGAATGACCTCCAACACTAACGGCTGGCTCGGTGTAAACGAACATCTCGGCTTTGGCCAACTTGTTGGACCTCAAGAATTCGAGCATGGAATCTACGTCATCTTGAGTGGTTATGGTATATTCCTCATGCCACAATGACCCAGTTGCTCTGTTTGGGTATCGGTACACCATACGATCTACCCTCCTCGTGCCATCTATGCAAGTAACGTCAGTGCATATTTGATGGAGGTCTTCAAGCTTCGGTCTGGTACCGACCGTTATTTTCTGAAAATTGCCACCGACGTAGGTGACCCCCTTTCCGGTCTCTTCCGTGTAACCATTCCACCGTAAGCCAAACGTTAACTGACGGAATGCCATCTGCCCACAAACAAACCGTAGTTTAGTTAATAAGATAAAAATCACAAATCTCAAATAACAATAAAAAGTATTACAAAATAAAGTTACGAGTTAATGTTAATGGCATAAAAAGTAACACAAAATAAAGTTACGAGTTAATGTTAATGGCATAAAAAGTAACACAAAATAAAGTTACGAGTTAATCTTAATGGCAAACACACTAAATAAATATAGATATACAACAGAAAAATGAAAGTGAGAATGAGAGGTGTGAAGAGTAGAGGTTTTCCGGCAAGTCTTATATAGGGGAAAAAATTGTGAAAACCGCACCTCTAGGGTGCGGTTTTAGTCTGCCATGCAGCCCTACGTCCATAATTCTCTGCATGGCTGTGTCGGGTGTCGGAAAATTATTGACACGTAAACCGCACTTGGGGGGTGCGGTCTACATGGCCAAACCGCACCTTAGAGATGCGGTTTGTTCTTGGAGGAATAAACCGCATCACTAAGGTGCGGTTTAGGTAGGTCAGGCCTAAACCGCACCTCGGCCATGCGTTTCATGTAGGCCAGACATGAAAACGCATGGCCAAGGTGCGGTTTAGACCCACCAGATTAGAACGCACCCTCCAGGTGCGGTTTACATATAAAACGCACCTGGGGGATGCGGTCAATAAAAAAGGGTGCTAGTTTTGTAAATATTTTTGGGAGGGTGCTAGTTTTGTAATTTTTTTTTTAAAAGGTGCTATTTCTGGAAAGATCTCTGACATAGGCTTATAGGGTGTGAACTCTCATGATACGCACCTTGACAAATTGTTGTTATTCTTTTTCTAGCAGTAGCTCAAACATTTTGAACACGGCCGTTTTGTTCTTTATTTTTTCTCTCTTCATGTTGATTTTGATGTTGCTCTTGTACTATCCCTTTTGCAATAATAAAATCGCTCTCATGGAAAAAGGTACAAAGAACTTTCTTTTACATGTAGCTGAAGACCAATGGTAATTTGGTAGCAAGTTGGAAAGAGGGAAAGATTAAAGAATAAAGAGGAAGAAAGGAGGAAAATGAGAAAAGAGTGGGGGAATCCAAGTGCCGCGTTTGACGCCTCGTTCATGAATGCGAAAAGGAAAACTAACCTCTCCCTCCGTCCACTCTGCTGTGTCGTCAGACGTCATACACAGTCTTGGTCTACCTATCTTTTTCCCCTCCTCCTTTTGTTATGGTCGCAATTGTGTACTGTTCTTCCATTTCTCATCTCGCGCCCAATCCCAAGTGTCCGCCTTTTGGATTTCTGTCTTCTTTATTGATTGCTAGTTGCTGCTACCCTTTTCTCTTTCTGCCTCGCACTCTCTCTCTCTCCTAAACTTCAAACATTCCCATTAAAAAAGTAGCGAGGAGAGAGAAAGAACAAGGACAGCGAACAGGGAAGAGAGAGAAAGCGGGGGAAGAAAGTGGCTATTGCTCTGCACATCCCTGACCTGACCAAGTCCATTTCCACGTGCCCCACTACCTTCGCCGGAGATCATCCTCCACCAGCGACCACCGTCCACGATTCGAACCTAGGGTTTCCCGCATCAGCTGCCTAAAATTATCTCCTTCCTTCCTTCCTTCCTTCCTCCACTCACCCCGCCGACCACCTAGCTAATTTAGGTTTCTTTGATTGGCGGCATCACTAGCCATTTCATGATTTTTTCTCTTACCTGAAGTCAAACTTACCGAGATGGAGCAACAGCAGCAGGTGCGCAGGACTTGGATAGGTGAGGGAGAGCAGAGCCAGCGCCGCGGAGTTTTCGACAGTTTGTTGCGCGGGGTTGGAGCTGAACATATGACCATCGATCAATGCGAGGCGATTCGGGAAATGGACGACTCTCAGCTCGTCGGGGTCCCTGTCGTCCTGGCTAAAGCTGACGTGTCTAGGCTGGACGTTGAAGTCAGGAATGCGGCAGCTGCTACGGAGATCAGTAAGGTGAAAAGAAGGCGTGGCCGCCCTCCGCGGAATCAGGGCAAACCAGCGCCGCCTCCTCCGCCCAAGGCCATGGACGAAGAGGATGTTTGTTTCATATGCTTCGATGGCGGCAGCTTAGTACTATGCGATCGCAGGTCAGTCTCTTTGGGTTAGTGTTGCTTCTGAATTTCTGCTTCCTGGCTATGAAGATCACGGAAGAAGTTCATCTCTATTAAGTGCCAAGTGAAATGCCTCTATGCAAAACTTTCCAACCTGAGACTATCCGGTAGGGTTGGGGGTTTTCTATCTACTTGTATCAGTTAGCCTATCATTTAACTGGTTATTCTGTTTGTGCCTTGACATGCATAGGGGATGCCCTAAAGCATACCATCCAGCTTGTATCAAGAGGGATGAAGCATTTTTCCAATCAAAGGGGAAGTGGAACTGCGGTAAAATCGCTTCTAAATTTTGATGCTTTCGTTCACTATAATTCCAACTTTAGCCGTTGTTGCTGCTGCGTACGTCGAGAGTTTATCAACTATGCCCTAGATTCTCTGCCCATATGTATGCGTGGGCGACTCCATCTGGAACGACAATGCGATAGTTTCTGACGTGAACATAGTTTGAGTGTGTATTCATCTGAATTGGTTATGTGGATTATCATTAACTGCCTATGGATGACTATCATTAACTGCTTATGGATGATCCAGTACGATGGATTTGATACTTCCATTCTAATGGCCAGTCGATGTCTTTTATGATTTATCTTCCGCTTCGCATTAGATTCTTGTTGCTTCACTGTACTCATGAGTCATGATTTGCTGGATCCTTAGAAGACTGATAATTCCAACATGCTGTCTCTCTTGCTCCTATCTCAATGATCAAATTCTTTCCATTTTTACCACTCCTTATTTCTGTGTTCAGTAAGTTATATTCTATTTTTGTTTAACTATGGTATGTATCAGGCTGGCATATATGTAGCAATTGTGAGAAGACTTCTCATTATATGTGCTACACTTGTACGTACTCTCTCTGCAAAGGATGCACCAAAGGTGCTGATTACTTATGCGTGCGAGGAAATAAAGGATTTTGTGGAACGTGTAAGAAAACTATAATGCTAATTGAAAATGTACCGATGGAGAATAGCGAGAAGGTATGTCAACTGCTGCCTAACTCGACCTGAACAGTCTTATTGCCAATGAGTTGCTGTTAGCAGTTTATGCGTAAGTACTTTATTCCACCCCCTTTGGCTGTACTGATCCTGGCAATTTCATGTTTTTTCTGGTCTATGCTATTCTGCAGGTTCAAGTGGATTTTGACGACAAATTGAGCTGGGAATATCTTTTTAAAGTGTATTGGGTGTGCCTTAAAGAAAACTTATTGCTGACTGTAGACGAAATACTGAAGGCTAAAAATCCATGGCAAGTTGATGAGCTACATAAAACTAAAAGTGCCTGGAAAGTTCCTGATGATGTTATTGGACCCGTGGGAGAATCTTCTAGTGAAATTTATTATGGTTCTAATGAAAAGGCATCTTCTTCTGGCAACAGCTATGGGACTCTGGAGACGAACTATTCCAAGAGGAGAAAAACTGATGACAAGCCTAATATTATGAATGAGGAAAAATCTGTAGGTATGGTGGACAAGTTGACTGTTGAAAAAGTTGTACCTTTGCCTGTGGGCTCAACAGAATGGGCGACAAAGGAGCTCTTGGAGTTTGTTGCACATGTGAAGAATGGGGATACTACTTTCTTATCTCAGTTCGATGTGGAGGCTCTTTTGTTAGACTACATCAAACGCAACAATCTGCGTGATCCTCGCCGCAAATGTCAGATCCTCTGTGATACAAGGCTTATAAACCTCTTTGGCAAAACACGTATTGATCATATAGAGATGTTGAAGCTTCTTGAAAGCCACTTTCTTGTGAAAGAAATCCCTCAGCGTGATGAATCTCAAGTTAGGGTGGAATTACCATCTGCTGAGGACAACGCTAGCTGTACCAATCTTTCTGCTGGTATTATTGGTAATTTCCCGGTGGTTAGCAATGATAGAAGCCGCAAGACAAGCAATAGGATGGATGAGAAAGAAACCCACACCACCAATCCCAATGCAGATGAATTTGCAGCAATTGATGTTCACAATATTAATCTATTATACTTAAAGCGTAGTTTGATGGAAAATCTTGTGAATGAAGCTGACAAGTTCCATGAGAAAGCGGTTGGGTCATTTGTCCGTATTAGGATTCCCTGTGGTGATATGCATCGACTCGTGCAAGTTGTAGGTATGACTTGAAATGACCTGTTTCCGAACTAGCTTCGAGTAGTCTTGAAGGAAAGTTTTTCTGGCTGAGAATTTTTTGAGGGATGAATGGTTCCCACTTTCAGGTACCTGCAAGGCATCTCAAGCATATAAGCTTGGCTCAAGGAAAACTGATATTTTGCTTGAAATATCAAATTTAGACAAGAAGGAATTTGTGTCAATTGATGGTATATCAGACCAAGATTTCTCAGAGGTGACTTGTGATGCCAATAAATACAGACCTTATTAGGTTTTATTTATTTATGTTTTTCCTTAAGTATTTCTTGATGCTTGCTCTGAAGTTTGTGGGGTTCAAACTTCAGGGTCCAGAAGTGTTCTTTTCCTGTTCAGGATTTGTAACATTATCTTTGTTTTCACTTGCTTGAAAGCTTCAATGTGTTGGCATGCAGTAATTTTTTTGTTACTGATCTAATTGTTTGTTCTGTGGAGAGTGCTTGCTGGGATCCTTCTGCCTGTAGTTCCACACTTACGGAGTACTATAAGTTTGCATGAGTTTAAAGACCTTTGAACTAAGGATTTCTATCTAAATATCCGTTATGATGCTTTATAAACCTGTATCCTCATGTTGGAAAATGCATGTTACCTTGAAGAATGTGACCCGAAGAAGTATTTCAGGCTACATTTTTAGATCATGCTAGTATTTGTTTGGGCACGGTTTTCCCCCTGGAACTCTCAATGCTGCAGTTAAAATTCATCTGGTAGGCTTTATCTGAGAAATGGATTCCGTCATTAAGATTTTAAAGTCTGTACCTCTAATTAGATGTTGCCTCCTAACAACCATTTTTGGATTCTGCTCATAAAGTTCAGTTGTTTTGTTGAAAAATCAATTGAAGATGTAAGAAGTTTACCATTTAGGGTTAAATATTTGGTCCGAAGTATATACGGATTAAGTAGATCTGAATTGTAAATTCTAATTAGAGCCTTGAATAGTTCCTCTTCCTCTGAATTTGATATGCCATGCCTCGTTATGTTTTCAGGAAGAATGCAGACGCCTAAAGCTCAGTGTAGAATCTGGTCTCGTAAAGTTTATGAAGGTGGTAAGTATGGTGCATGTGTTTTTATTGATGTGTTCACTTAAAAAGTAATATGTGCCATTCTCCATAATACATGTCTCGCTTGGTTGTAGGGTGAGGTCCAGGAGAAAGCAACAGTACTTCATTCCATGAAAGTTAGTGATGTATGTCGTCATATCCGTTCTTATACATAGTTTTGCTTACAATCTAGTGTGACAGTCTTGCATGCTTCCTTTTTTCACTTGTCAATATCTCCAACAGTGCCTGGAAGCAGAAATATCACGCCTTAATCATCTTCGGGATCAAGCTAGTGAAAAAAGACAGCGGAAGAAATATCCTAAATACAGTTTATTGCATAGCAACCCTTTTTGATTCAACTCATTGCATGCATGACTTTGGTGATTTTAGTTCCTGTGTATGGTTCCTTGGGGTTTCTTCACCTCGGGCACCTTCCTTGCTTTTAGCATGCTAATAACTGAAAAATGACCTTTAGTGATTTTTGTTGCTACGATAGAAAAGGGAGGAAAGGTTAGATTGAAAAAGTGTTTGTTTTAGTTTTTTGTTCTGTTCCAGTTTTTGCCAAAATGAACCCCCGATACTTCAGTGCAGTATATGGACTTTCCTTGACCACGTTCCACTCTCAGAGAATGCGTGGAGAAATTGGACATTCTGCAGTCATTTGAAGAACGCAAGCGTAGGTTGCTTGAGGTTCCTATTGTGCATTCAGATCCAAATATAGGTCCCCGCAAGTCTGTCAAAGAGTCGAGTAATTATACCACTACAGCAAACCAGATGCTTTCCGTATCATCTAGCCATGAACAAAATAGTCGACCAGTGGCCGCTCCTTGTCAACCAACATCTGCAGTTTTCCCGCCAGGGATACCACTCTCTCCTCTAATTAATGAGGATGAGCTAGAGAGACTTTGGCATTATCGTGATCCTTTTGGAACAGTTCAAGGACCTTTCCCTATGATGCAACTTCAGAAATGGAGCACAAGTGGGCTTTTCCCCCAGGATCTAAGAGTGTGGAGAGTGCACGAGAATGAGCAAGACTCTGTTCTTTTGACTGATGCTTTGCTTAGGCTGGTGCTCCAGAAAGAGCCACCAAAACCTGCAAATAATAACTGTATTATGTTGCCTCAGGAAGTAGCAACAGCTGCATGTGATAGTACAGATAAGAAGTGGAGCAGTGGATCAAGTCAGGATACTGGTACAACTCAGATGGAGGAGGATAAGAATGATGAAGTTGATAAAAGTGGCAAGGCTGAGAAAAATGATTCAAGTGCCCGAAGTAGTGATGATGGTAATGATGAAATTACAAGGAGTACCGAGGAGTTGGCTTCTCATCCATCCAGGTTGACCATGTTAGTGGATCTTGTTATTGGCAATAATGAATTAAGTCAAAGGGTTGAGCAGCAGTCCGATGTATGTGGGTCGGTTTCTTTACCTTCTTCCTCTGCTAAAAATCATAATGATGCCACGGCCCCCGTGAGACAAGTTGAGTTGACCAAGAATAACCCGAAGTCTTGGGTTGATCAGCAGTCCGAGATATGTGGTTCAGTTACTTTACCTTCTTCTGATGAAGTTTATAATGATGCTCCGACCCCCCATGTGGGACAAGTTGAGGAAGAGGAAAACAGGAGTTCCAGTGTGAATGATTTGAAAGAAAGTAGCCCAGATCATAAGACTCCTCCCAAGGAAGAACAACAAACCATTGTCGAAAGTGATAAAGTGAATGGCACCAGCAACAGTGAAGGTGGTTGTTCTAGCCAATCTTCTCGTCAGAGTTGGCAGCAGTCTCGGCACATGAACATCACGATTGGATGGGATCTCAACTCTACTTTCCCTTCTATCTCTAATTCGACAGAAACAGTAAAGCTTGAACACGAAATCATTTTTGCCGATCTACAAAGTCCATTGCCGAAGCAGCAACAAGGCGATAATGGGGACTTGAAAGGTGGGCAGAGTGGTCGCGAAGAAAGCAAACACTCTACCACTGTCTCTTGTAATGTGCCCATCATTGATGCAGGGCCCTGCTGGAGCACTACTTCGAGTTTAGTTGGTGGGACACGGCTTCCTGGCGCCGCTACTGAATGGACGATGGGCTATTCTTCCCCTGCTATAGCCAAATCTTCTGTCGAGGACTGGGGCTCCAATCTTGTGCCAGAACCCAATGAATTCTCCTTGGTCGATGAATCTGTTTCAGACCTTTTAGCCGAGGTAGAGGCCATGGAATCTCTCGGTGGATTGCCATCCCCTACTTCAAAATTAAGCTGTGGTGTGGATTTGATGCAAGTCTCCGATAATGATTGCTTTAGTCCTGTGGAGGATTTTAGCCCGGCTGCAGTGCCGGATCACGGAAGAAGCGATGCATTAAGCTCCACAGGTGGGGGAGATATAATGCAAATGCCATCCCGTTTATCCTCATTAGCAGGGGAACAACAGCTTGGTTTATCGATTATGTCTTCTCCTCAGCCTATAGCACATCATGATGATGAGAAGGAACCGTATAGTAGGACGACAACTCATCACAAGCCTCCTCCCCAGTTGATAACTGTAACTGATCACAAACCACCACCAGTTCACAACATATCTCTCATGCTCTCGCTTCCCCCAGTAACAAGTGACTCACTCCCACTTGGTTTGCCCACTACTCCCCTGATACAACCCCACCATTCACCAGTAGTGGGCCGAACAATTGGCTTGTCACAGACAGATGCTCGGAAGAGGTCACCCAGTGGGCATTCGAGCAGCAGAAGCAAATTGGAGAGACGGTGGGAAGGAAGTTCAGAAACCAAGCAGGTTCAGCAGTCAAGTTTCAAACAGACAAAGCCAATCTTAGACATCAAGCTGCCGCCTGCCTCAACCGCGAGTTGTCAAGTTGAAGTCGGGTCAGACACCATTCATTGTCCAGTACCTGCTGGAGTAGACTTGAGATTGGGGAACTCCAGGGGGCGATCGATCCTGGGTCTGGTCCCAGGTGCTGCAAGCAGTCATTCTAACGGCTCAGTTCAGAAACATGGTGGGGCCCTGTCACCCACATCCACAGGGCATTCTACAACTTCCACAGGGAATCCTCCTCCGAGTCCGTTGGGAAGCCAGACGAGGGACAGACATTCTGGTGGGTCAAGAGATCACCGAAGCAGCCATCGTCACCACAGCGGTAGAGATTCCGGTGGTCATGTTGGTAGGGATAGGTCAACGTCGGCTGGAGGCAACAACAGGCAGGGGTCCACCGGAGGAGGGTCTTTCAGATCGCCACCCAAAGGGTCGCGAGTACTGTGTAGATATATTGGAAGCGGGAAATGCAAGAAGGGTGCGGCTTGTAGTTTTTGGCACCCTTGAGTTCGATATTCAAGGTTTTCTAACTAGGGTCAAGAGGGAAGAGAAGAAGGAAAGTTGTGTGCATTATTTTTCCTTGTAGACGTCGTGATTTTGTATTAGGAAGTCTCCATGCCACGCCATTGTACTAATGTGTAACTTTGTACAAGTATTAAATCTGGAAAATAGTTGCCTATCTATGTTATCCATGCAATTCAACTCCTACCTGTTAAGTGTTAAGTAGTTCTGCATAGTCTAATCCATGCACCAAACAAGCAGATGGGGTAGCTTGATGGTCGCTCGGATGAGGATGCTAGATTTGATTTTGTATTAGGAAGTCTCCATGCCACGCCATTGTACTAATGTGTAACTTTGTACAAGTGTTAAATCTGGAAAATAGTTGCCTATCTATGTTATCCATGCAATTCAACTCCTACCTGTTAAGTAGTTCTGCGTAGTCTAATACATGCACCAAACAACCAGATGGGGTAGCTTGATGGTCGCTCGGATGAGGATGCTAGATCAGCCATGACAATTTATGGGTTCTGCATAGACTTCATCGCACAATTGATTCAATCGATACAAAAGTGCCAGGTTTCCTCTTATGTAGGCTTGGTGACGGATGAGTTCGCGACCATGAAATCACGAACATGGTATGGAAAGAGCGCCTATGAACTTTGAAGCGACATCGCCTTGGAGCTTTGGATGGCTGACTACGGCCGCATAGGCAGCTGATAGATCACAGTCGTGATCTTGAGATCACCCATGAACTCCCTCAAAACACTCGTGAACCTTTCAATCAATTTTCACCAATTTGTTCTAGCATTCACTGGTGCCGAAGGAAGATCACACGTGTAATCTTTTCCACCCGCCTGTAATTTGAGTTCACGGCGGGGGATCACAAGTCTGATCCTTTTCATGCACCCGAGAACTTTGATTCAGACTTAATTACACATGTTTGTCCTTCACAGTTTGATAATTTAGCTTGATTCAAGATGTTTACTTAGCTTATTTTTACACTATGTTGCACTTATTTGCGTATATTCCAGGTTCTAGCACACATATATGGCAAATGGATGGATGTCGGACCAAATAGGACAAAAACGGGACAAAAGTGCACAAAGAAAGACATCATTCATGACCAAGTGCTCCAATTCATGGCCTGGTTGTGAGAGCTACAACAACGGTCGTAAGACTCAACAAATCCCAGGGAATCCGACCATTGCATGACCAGTCTCACGACTTGGTCATGCGACATGATGAAGTGGTCGTGAACTTGTAAAAATGACAATCTTCAGTTTGGTTTATGTTTTAGTTCTCACGGTCGTGACCCGGTCTTGAATCGCTCATTGCAGCCTATTTCTCGGGTTTCTGGCCATTTTGCGAAGGAGGTTGATTTTTAGAGAGAAGTTAGAGCTTTTCTTCCATTCTAGTGAGAGAGTGATGAACCCAAGTTGCTTTGAGGTGATTTGGAGCATCCTAAGACCAAGAGAATCAAGAGCAACCAAGGAGCAAGATCTTCTTCCTATAATGATTGTCTTCCTCTCTTTGGTTGTATTTGTCTTCCTATGGAGTAGTTCTCCATTTCACTTGGGTGTTGTGAAACCCTAGTTAGTATGTTGTAATTGATTGTTTGTGAACCCTATCCTTGATTTTTACTCTTGATTATATATTGAGTTAGAGTATTATTCATGAAATTGATGGTTCTTGATCACTTCTCTCAATTCTGGGTTAATTGAAATATGCGAGAGAATATCTCCGTAAGTTGATTAAGAGAAATGCCAATTCATCACTTGGGTTCTATGAACGAGTGTGATTAGATCCTTAGTGCTGTAATGGGTTTTACCCAATTATGGAAGTTAGTTGTGATTGTCTCAATTACCTAGGTCAGCTGTTGGTATGACTCGCCCGGTAGTATAACTGAGCGAGATTGAATAACCCGAATAGGGAGTCTAATCTCAATTAGAACTCTTCACAACATAGGTTAGAGTTGATTGAATGAGAGTGTAACAACGTCGATACAACGTAGACTAGGGGGAAGCACATTCGGGTGAATCTTACCTCAGTTGAAACTAATCTCATGTACTTTCTTGCTTGCTTAATTGTTAGTAATTGAAGCACCAATTGGTTTGCTAGATAACAAATAGCTCATTTAAGTAAGTGTACTATAACACCTAAATTGATGTTATTTACCCTTTATATTAAGGTTTGTTTCGTGCCAATTCATGTGTATGATTGTTTGAACATCGTCAATTGCATCCCAATTTCGTTTCTATTTGATTTTGATGTGATTTTATGGTGCTTTAGACAATACATGTGAATTAGGTACGAAAAAGCATACAAGTGTAGCAAAAGGGTTAGAACACTGAAGATCGCAGACTAGAGATGGACATCAAGACCGAGATCATGGCCTACGAACTCATGTTGAAGATCATGGCCTGAAAGCCCAAGATTTCGGCCGCGAATTGTAAGGCTTAGGGAGCGAACTTCGTGAAGAAGCAGCCGAGGAGAAACATAGAGTTTGCCCAGTCAGAACATGACCATAGTGCAAAATTGACCGCGAGAAAGTTCCCGGTCGCGACTTGTGGATCGCGACTGTGAAGTCAGCCCGCGAATTCCTTGTTCCCGAATGCCGAAATGGCAGCATCGCAAGATCGCGTCCACGATCTCTGCCCTGCCTGCGTGCATACTTCTCCATCCTCTGATGGCTATAAATAGAAGACTCCTTTCCCCATTCAAGAGAGCTGATTTTGAGATAGAATTTTTGCTTTTAGAAAGAGAGAAGAGAGAGAACTTGAAGGAAGTAGAAGAGGAGAAGAAGGAGAAAGATCTAGAAGAGAGAAGCTATCTTCCTTAACATCAAGTCTTCTTCCACCTCTTTATGCATCTTCTTCACTCCTTTATGGAGTAGTCCTTTAAGGTACTAGGGGTTCTAAACCCCAAATCCTAGTTTTAGGGTTACTATGTATGTATGGATATTTTAGGGTTTTAGTGAATGAATGTTTTTATCTAGTTGATTTGAATACTATTCTATCTATGATTGTGTTCGGGTAAGTCGCCATAATATTCTCTACTAGCCTACTTGAGCTTCTACGTTGAGTGTGGAGTTTTCGGGTTAGACGGGTATGCGCTATCAAGAAAATTGAGGTAAGATGTATAAATAGGATCCCATTGTGGACGAGGCGATCGAACCCCTGCCATAGGAATGCCTTCCTAGATAGAATCCGGGATGAAACCTCACTGGGTACAGTGGGTAGTAATATCCGGTATGAATAGTATTATTATTAGTAGTAATATTTCGTAATGTAATTTTCCTTTTTGTGCTTTGTTTTCATCCACTCTTCTTCCCAAAGAGTGGGTTGTGTTTGTCTTATTTTCCTTTAGATTTGTTGATCATAGCTTTCAAATCATGGACACTTATGACTTCACCAAACTATGAGGGGTATTCACCACTAGTTAAAGATGACTACCCCGAATCTTCACGAAAATGATCAAGATGGAGGAAGTCAAGGATTCATATTCTTTTGTTCACCCTCCTTCCAAGAAGAACAAATTTACCTTTTGGAACTTACAAGAAGCCTCCCAGTTTAACACAGTTAGTATTCCACAACCGGAATAAAAAAAACATTTAGAGCTCTTGGTGGAGCAGTTCACTCAGAAAACCGAAGCGTGCTCCCTTATGAATCCTCAACCACCTTTCCCATCGACTACTCTTTACTATGGACAACGGAAGAGATGCTATGAAAAACGGAAAGGCTAGGTGAGATTGTTAAGCAAGCATTTGCACAACTTACTAGCAATCTTCCCTTACCAAACGAGATGAAAAATGAGGTTGGAGAGGCTAGCCAAGAAGACTTGAAGAAGCAAAACGGAAAGAGAAAGATCTTGTTCATCCCTACATGGAGCCACAATTCAAAGAAAAAGGAAAGGCTGCTCCAAGTGCATTTTGTGTCCAACTCGGCCTTTACGCTCTCTCGGAAAGTACTCATTTGCGACTCTTTGCCAAACCAAGGTCACACCGTCAAATATCCCTCTTGGTGGATTTAGTGACAGTCAACCAATATTTTATTACATGGTGTTGGGCAAGGAGAAGAGTAGAGAAAAGAAGAAGAGGTCTCGTGGGTGGAGACTAAAACCACGCCAAGTCCAAGGGTCGACTACTTCATTTGGGACTTGAGGCCTCGAATCACCGACGAGAACATCAACTTCAAGGAGGTTCTAAGTTGGACTGAAAACTTGAAGACGACGGTCCAGTGAAATGACCTAAAAGACATGGTAGTTGGGAGACAACCCAACATCAGTTTGCATTTGTTTACCTTTTCTTGCATTTCATTTCAACCCTCTCTAATTAGCTTAATTGATTAATCATTATAGTTTTTCTTTTCGTTATTAGTTTAGTTCTAGAAAATTTTTTCCTATTTCCTACCGTTTAATTTCAACGTCGTTTAGTCAAACTCCCGCTGGTAAGTTAAGAGATTTATGCCTTATAAGCGATCTTCCCTTTTCTTTCCTGTGAAGTCCGTTAAAGCCGTAGAGATCGCGACTTGTGGCAAAAAAGATCGCAGCCGCAAACTTTTTCCTCGAGCCTGCGATCTTCCCCGTGTTGTATAAAAGTCGATTGCGGGGAGAGCTTCTCGGGCCATAATTCATTTCCCCCCATTTTTTTCAAACTTCCAGACTTAGAACTCAAGTCTGGAGGTGGAGAACTTGATTTTTCATCCCCAATCTCCATTTCTTTGATTCTTCCTCACCTAGCTTGGGTTTCAGCTCTTAATCATATCTTCAAGTGATTCCATGTATGTTTTCAAACATTTTTCTTTCTTTCTTCACGTGGGGCTGTCGAACTGGAAGGGGAGAAGAGCTCAAGTTCTTGTTCGAAATTTGGTAGATGCTCGCCAAAGGAATAGGAAAACAAATCCCAAATTAACTAGGAAACATAATAATAATTTAATAAGGACTAAAACTACTAATTAAACTTGTAAATAACCTAATTAAATAATTAAACAAACAGAACCAAAATAAGCACATCACGTGCTGAAACTTTCCTTCTCCTTCACGAAATCGAATTTCATTGCTTCCTCCAAATTTCGTTGCAGCTGTCAACGCATTTTACTTTTGTCTTCAATAATTCACGTCCACCCAGAATCCATTATTAGGATTTATACCATAACCAACCATTAACCCATGTCATTTGTCTTCACGTTGGTTTGTCCTTTGTAGCATTAATCCACCAACCACACTCATTAAGAACGCTCCCAATTGATCCTTATATCGTCCAATTCGAGTCTTCAATTTTGGGCAACAAGAATTAAATATCGCACTAGTCGATATTGCATCAGAGGAAGAGCGCTTAAATGTAGTTCATGGTGGGTGATCGTTTGTAAGGGAGAAGTAAGGCTTTTGGCCGATGCTAGTGGTCTTTGTTTGTAGAGAAGGTTCTTAGTCAAAACCATAGAACCTTCAGGTTTAGGTTGAAGATGTAGAACCTCATGTTGTGTTTGCCACCACCCAAAAAGCTTTTTC